AGAAAATATTTTAAAAATATGTAGAAAATAAATAAGAAAATATAGAGAAAACATTTAGGAAATGTATAGCAAACGTGGCCTGGCGGGGTGGCAGCTGCCAAGGTGCCCTGGCCAGGGTGCCGCAGGCTCCGCAGGGAATGCGACAGGCCCGGAGGGCTCTGGCCAGGACATCAGGACACAGCGAGGAGGAATCTTGTCCCCTGAGGGCTCTGCCACCAGAAATAGCCCTGTCCCTGTGAGCAATCCTGTCCCTGCAGCCCAGAGTCCAAAGGGAAGGGACAGGGATGGCAAGTGCCACCCACGATGTGTCACCTCCGTGGCTCCATTGTCACCCTGGAATATGTTTCTCTCCAAAATCCCTTCATCCAGCCCCGGGCAGATTTTGTCCAAACCCCCAGCAGGCACCGGGCATGGAGGGCACAGCTCCTGGGCAGCACAAAGGTGAGAAAGTATCCCATTCTTCAATGGGACGGGATCTCAGAGGCTCACAGGATGGTTTGGGTGGGAAGGGACCTTAAAGATGATCCCATCCCACCCCCTGCCATGGGCAGGGACACCTCCCACTAACCCAAGTTGCTCCAAGCCCCATCCAAGCTGGCCTTGGACACTTCCAGGGATCCAGGGGCATCAAAGCTGCTGCACTGCCCCATTTCCAGCAGCTCTGGGATGCTCCCAGCGAGGGCTGGGGCTTGGCTGCACAAAAAGACCATTCACATCCCCGCTTCTCCTTTTTTTATTGGCCCTCCAGTATTTTCTGGATCCTCATTGGTTTCCTCATCTTCCCATAATTCACCCAAACGGCCGAGGCTGTGCTTGGCTTCACCTCAAGGTCAGTAAATCAAGGTCATTAATTAAAGGCAGCAATTTACCAGCTCGCAGCCCAATTCCTGAGGAACTCACGCATCATTTGAGCGGGATTTTCATATCCTTCACTTGGAAGAAGAACAGACACGACTTTAGCAGAACAAAATGCACTTTTTTGGCAGCTCACAAAACCACTTCTGCTCCGTCGCAGGCACGTTCCTGCCTCTCCGTCTCCCGCCCCGGGGGTATCCAATACATCCTGGGGAAAGATGTGGAAATGCTTCCCTGAGGGGGTGGGGAGGCCCTGGCACAGGTTGCCCAGAGAAGCTGTGGCTGCCCCTGGATCCCTGGAAATGTCCAAGGGCAGGTTGGACGGGGCTTGGAGAAACCTGGGCTGGTGGAAGGTGTCCCTGCCCATGGCAGGGGGTGGCACTGGATGATTTGAAAGTCCTTCCAACCCAAACCATCCTGGAATTCTATGAACTCGCCCAGCACCTCACCTTCCAGCAGGAATTCCCGTTGCTCCTGGATTTGCAGATGGCAAATCCTGGTCTGCTTCACCGGCCACGACCACAAAACGTCCTAAAAAATTAAAAAAATTCCAAATAAAATTTACAACTCGCTTAAAAAACCCAACTCGGATCCTTAGGAAAAAAACGAAACAAACTTTTTTTCTTTAAAAAAGTGGTTTTAATATTTATTATTATCATCATTATTATCTTCCTGAGGGGGCTGTGGCAGCGTGTCCTGCGCGGCGCTCGCGTCCCAACCCCCGGAGCTGGGTCGGCCCCCCTTCAACCAGCCCCCAAATTTCCCTCTCCAGCAGCATTTCAAAGCAGAGATCTGAGCAGCAACCCAAACACAACACATGCAACCACTTAGAGGGCAATTAATAGCGGCGGAAGGGCCCTTGTTGGAGGCAGCAGAAGGAACGACGTTACATTTCCGGAATAATGGCTGAAATTTGCCATTGTGTGTCATCGGGAATCACTTAGAGCAGTTTTGATCTCGGTTCTTGCTGTCAGGGCTCTAATGAATTAACAGATGACAGGCTGGCGTAACGAGGCTCTGCTTTAAAGACGAGGCGACGTTGTTTTCTTGCTGTACTACTCGGATAATTTGGGATGTTTAAAAATAATTATGGCAGATGATTAATACCTTACACGTTCTCAGACGTCTCTCACGCGCAGCACAGGGCCCAGCCTGCCTTTGGAGGCGGTTTAGGGACCTGTAGAGCCCCAAATCCATCATTATACACCCCCAAAAAAACTTCATTGAGCGCAGAACCGCCTTCATTGCGCCCCAAAATGACACCATTAAACACATAAAAAATCATTACACCCCTAAAAGGTCATTGTACCCCCAAAAAATCATTACAACCCCCAAAAAATCATTATACTCTAAAAAACCAACATTACACCCTAAAACACATTGATACGCTCAAAAAAATCATTAGACTCCAAAAAAATCAGCATTACACCCCAAAACATCATTATTACACCCTAAAAAGCATCATTACACCCAAACCCCATAATTACAACCTAAAATAACATAATTACACCCTAAACCCCCTCATTATACCCTAAACCTCATCCTTACAACCTCAAAAACATCATTACACCCTAAAAATCATCATTATATCCTAAAACCCCAACATTACACCCCAGAAAACAGTCTTACCCCTCAAAAACATCATTACACTCAAAAATCCACATTAGATCCCCAAAAATCACCAACACATTCCCAAAAATCGTCATTACACTCAAAACAACACCATTAGACCCCCCAAAAAATCATCATTAAAACCCCCAAAAAATCATCATTGTGCCCCAGAAAAACATCATTCCACCCCAAAAGACATCATTCCACCCCAAAAGACATCATTACACCCAAAAAACATCATTCCACCCCAAACACTGCAATCTGGGCTTGTGAAGAGATAAAACCCCACAGTCCCTGTCCAGCACTCCCAGGGGGGAATGTTTTCACCCCAAACCTCTCAGGGCCTTTGGGATGAGCTCCGTGGGCCTGGTGTGGGGCTGTGGGGTTCAGGGCACCCAATCCAGGGGGCTGGCCAGGGCAAAATCCAAGGAAAAAGGCCCTTCCTGGCCGGGCAGGTTCCCCGCCCTCGTTAAGGGGGCTGCGGGATCCCGTTCCTCTGCCGTGCAGAGGGACCACAAAGGCATATTCTCCCCAATGTTAAGTAAACAAACTTTTGCAAACTGCCTTTTATTGATTCCATACGGCCATCTGGTTCGAGGGAAAACGGCTCCCCTCCCCTCTCCCCCCCCTTCCCTGTGAAAATATCCCAAGGTTAGGGGCTGGCAGAGGCTCAGCGTGGCTGAAAACCACCTCGTTTCCTCTGCGGTTCCCAACACAGGAAAGCGTTGAACTCGCCGAGAAATGTTGGAGGCTTAGTTGGTTTCCCCATCTGGTAGCCAGGCTGTGCCGCGAAAATTAAAGATATACATATGCAAATATCCCCCAGCCCGCTTCCAAGATCTAAAGAATTTTTATGATGTAACCACAAAAAGAGGTTATTTAATGTTGACAATATGTAGCGGAGCAAAAGCGCTCTCATGCTGCATATGGTAATGGAACTTATGGAAATGAAGCCGCGCTGCCCTGGCGGAGTAATGAAAAGCAGATTTCACCTTGAAGATTGTTTGAGCTGTTTAGCTTGTAATGACTTGGGGGGGGGGGGTGGAAACCACTAAAGAAACCCGAAAAACATCGGTGTGAAAGTACAACCGGCGGCACCGTCCAAGGGCCTCGGCCCCGAGCCAGGGCTATGGCACCGACCCACCAGGGACGTGCCCCTGTCCCACTGGGAATGTCCACAGTGCAGGCAGGGCATGGAGAAACCCCCCCAGGGGTGCTGGTGCAGCTTCCAACATCTCCAGCAACCACAGGGACAATGTGTCCCTCTGCCACGGGGGGACAAGAGCAGCTGAGGGATTCTGGATCAAGGGCACCCCACAGACCCTGGGGTGGGCAGGGCACCCACAGCAGTCCCCTTCCATCCACGTGCATCCATCCTGCTGGTGGCTGCCCACAGGATGGTGCCAGGCTTTCCAGTGGTGCCCAGTGCCAGGATGAGGAGAAATGGCCATAAAGCAAACACAAGTTCCACCTCAACACGAGGGAGAGCTTTCCGTGGAGGCGGCAGAGCCCTGGAAAGGCTGCCCAGGGAGGGTGTGGAGTCTCCCCCTCTGGAGACGTCCCAAACCCACCTGTTCCTGTGTCACCTGCTCCAGGTGACCCTGCCTGGGCAGGGGGTTGGCCTGGGTGATCTCCAGAGGGCCCTCCCAGTCCCAGCTATTCTGGGATTCTGGGACTCCTCATGTCTCTGTGCCCCCCCCCCGGAACCAGGTACCACTCAGCTGAGAGGCCCCAACCCGGGGGACACTCTGTGACCCTAAAGCCTCTGCACAGTGGGCACACAGCAGTCAGACACTGGTGCCCCCTGAACTGGGAGGGATGGCAGTGCCCCATCCCCAGAGCACCGTCCCACCTTCATCCAGGGACGTGGTGGGGGTGTGTGGAGCGACCTCCAACACCCCAACACCCCGATCCAACAGCATCAGCTGCACCCAACCCATGAGCTCCCCAAAACCCACGAGCTCCCCAAAACCCACGAGCTCCCCAGTCAGTCAGAAACACCACCCAAGCCACAGAGATGACTCCAAGCCCTGCATTCCCAAAGCCACTTTTCACGGAGCGGTGACTTATTGCTGCTGCTCAAATTAATGATGTTCTGCCCCTGTAACGAGCACCTTTGTATATTATGCGAGTGCTTTGCCTGTCATCGGCAGCCTCAGAGAAGGATGTTTGAATTAACAAAATATTACTGTGATCTTCTCCCTGACAGGATGGAAGCAATAATATTTAGTGAGTAACTGAGCTCCCATCAATAATTCAGGAGACTGCAAAAATCTTGATCATCCAGCTGACTCCGAGAACAAAATAGTCGAGCTTTGTGCATCCTGAGCTGAGATAAAACCACCAGCAGAAGGAAGAAGGTTAAAATTACGTGGAAAAAAAGCTAATTAAAAAGGCAGCCCACATGTAAGAAGGAGGGCAGGGAAAATGCTCTTTAAAGCAAGAGAAGCCACAGGTTCCCCAGTCTCCCTGTTTCTTCTGTGGGATCAGAGCCGAGGGGTGTCAGGGAGCTGCTCCCCCCCTCCCAGTTCTCCGTGGCACAATGGAAGGAGAAGGTGGAGGCACCTTGATGCAGGACCCCAGCCTGGCTGTGCCCCAGGAGATGTGTCTGAGGCAGCGCCCTGGGGCATTTGGTGGCATCTGAGGGGACACCAGAGCTGGACTGAGCTCGGTCCTGCTCCTCTGTCCCTGCCTGGCTTCCTGAAGGTCCCTGAGGGGCCCCCAACAGCACTGACCCCAGAGTGTTTCCTGGGCTGATCCCAGAGCGTGGGCAGAGTGAGGGAGGGTTGTCCCTTTGTGCCCCCTCAGGTGAGACCCCCCTGCAGAGCTGCCTCCAGATATGGGGAACTGCAGCACAAAGATGTGGAGCTGCTGGAGAGAGTCCAGAGGAGGCCACGGAGATGCTCCCAGGGC